GAACATGGTGAGTGGGGAGGGAGGTTATACAGCGGCTGGAGCGGCAGTCTGTTATCCTGCTGCCGTTCCTGAAGCCCCACCAGACGCCGGAGCATGTCCGTTTGATCACGCAGCAGCCCCAGCGTTGCAGCCTACCACCTCTCATCTCGAGCGTCCCTCATGACCTCACGTTCACTGGCATCTTTCCTAAATTTAGATACCATGTCCTTCCACTCATTCAACTGAGCTCTTTCATTGTGGGTGCATTCCATTATTTCCATGAACATCTCGTTTCGCGTCCTCTTTCTCCGCCACCTTATTTGAGATAGACTTCGGGACGGAGGAGGGAGGCTTGAAAAATTTGCAGCTGCTGGAGGGAGGGTTGAAAAAAAGGAGAGAAGTTTTTAAAATGATACATTTTACAGAACAATGCTTATACTCTTTCACGGTGAATAACACTATTCACATTACATAGCACATGTGAGTTCAGTACAAGGTCGCATTTTCCATCTTAATATTGAGTGCCTGTGGCTTTGGTGTTAGAGATCACAGACGTAGGTCCGGGCAACAGAATTCAGCTTGCATGTGGCCATGGTAGGCCATTGTCTTTCGGCTTCTGCGCCCTCCTTTCCCAAATACCATGCAAAGCCCGTTGACTGCTGCGGTTTTCCTGTTAACCTTCAGCAGCAGAAAACAAACTAACCGCCCCTCATCCAATTCTCTGGGATGATCGCTTTATCCCTCCCCCCACCGCGTGGCTGGTAACAGGGAAGATCCCTGCTAGCCAAACTCGAAAAGCTCAGGGCCAGTTCCCCCCCCCTCCCCCCGCGCTTGGCTAACTGCAGGGAAAGATTTCTTTTCAGCCACAGGCAAACAGTCCAGTAGGAACGGCCACCTCTGTCCCCTTGATTAAATTCCCGTATTTCAACCAGGTTACCATGAGCGATATCACTCTCCTGAGGATTACACAGCGAGATAAAGAACGGATGTTGCTTGAATGCCAGCAAACACCGGGACCATACGCTGCCAGGCTTTGTCATGCAATGATACCAGATTACTTGCTACTAGCATGGCGTGGTCAAGTGTCCTACCATGGAAGACTGAGTAAGGCTGCACTGCCCAGAAACCTTGTGGCAAGGCTTTTGGAGTACCTCCAGGAGAGCTTCGTGGAGATATCCCTGGAGGATTTCCGCTCCATCCCCAGACACGTTAACAGACTTTTCCAGTAGCTGTACTGGCCGCGAATGCATCCCAAGTCCTCAGGGCAAAGTAAAAAACGCTTGCTTTTAAAACAAGTTTTATATTTTAAAAGGTAAACTCACCTGAGGTCCCTTCCATGGGGTCATGGTCTTGGATACTGGCTTGGGAGGGTTGGGAGGGTACTTCAGTCAGGCTGAGAAAAAAATCCTGGCTGTTGGGGAGAACGGAGTGCTGGGTGCTCTCCGCAAGCTCGTCCTCTTCCTCCTCCTCCTCCTCCTCCTCTTCCCTGTCCGCAGAATCCTCAGGTGTAGCTGATGAGATTATCCCCGCCTCGGAATCCACGGTCAGAGGTGGGGTAGTGGTGGCGCCCCCCCCTAGAACTGCATGCAGCTCGGCGTAGAAGCGGCATGTCCGCGGCTCTGACCCGGAGCGACCGTTTGCCTCCTTTGTTTTTTGATAGGCTTGTCTGAGCTCCTTGACTTTCACGCGGCACTGATCTGAGTCCCTATAGTGGCCTCTCTCCATCGTGCCCTTGGAGATTTTTTCAAAAGTTTTGGCATTTCGTCTTTTCGAACGAAGTTCTGCTAGCACTGAATCCTCTCCCCATATAGCGATCAGATCCAGTACCTCCCGTACAGTCCATGCTGGTGCTCTTTTTCGATTATCGGCCTGCATGGTTACCTGTGCTGATGAGCTGAGCTATCTGTGGTCACCAGTGCTCTCCACGCTGGGCAAACAGGAAATGAAATTCAAATGTTCGCGAGGCTTTTCCTGTCTACCTGGCCAGTGCATCCGAGTTCAGATTGCTGTCCAGAGTGGTCACAATGGTGCACTGTGGGACAGCTCCCGGAAGCCAATACCATCGAATTGCGGCCACACTAACCCTAATTCGAAATGACAATATCGATTTTGGCGCTACTCCGCTCGTCGGGGTGGAGTACAGAAATCGATTTTAAGAGCCCTTTATTTCGAAATAAATGGCTTCGTTGTGTGGACGGGTGCAGGGTTAATTCGATTTAACGGTGCTAAATCCGAATTAAAGTCATAGTGTAGACCAGGCCCAAGTAGTAACAGACAGAACAAAGTAAGTCACCAAGCAAAATAAAATAAAATGCGCAAATCTATGTCAAATCAAACTGAATACAGATAAGATCCTCACCAGTTCCAGAATGCTCCCTTTTACAGACTAATCTCCTTTTAGCCTGGGTCCAGCAATCACTCACACTCCTTGCAGTCACTGCCCTTTGTTCCAGTTTCTTCCAAGTATCCTGGGGGGTGGAGATGCTCTCTCTTTAGCCAGCTGAAGACAAAATGGAGGGGTCTCCCAGGGGTTTAAATAGACTTTCTCTTATGGGTGAAGACCCCCTCCTCACTCCTATGCAAAGTCCAGCTCCAAGATGGAGTTTAGGAATCACCTGGAGGTCACATGTCCATGCATGACTCAGTTTTTACAGGTAGCATCCATTGTTTACATGCTACCTTGAATGTCCTCAAGTAGACTTATGTGGATTGGAGCCTTCCAAGATCCGTTGTCCTTTAAGTGTTTCTTGATTTGGTACATAATTTCAACATTCCTTTCTCCAGGAACTGACCAAATGCTCTACTAAGGTTATTTAGAAATCAAGCCAGTACACAGCCAACATTCATAACATTCATAACTTCGAATACAAAAATGATACATGCATACAAATAGGATTAATACATTAAGTAGATCATAACCTTTGAGATATGTTACATGGCATATGTAGCATAAAACACATTCTAAGCATATTTCCATAAAGCCTTATCGGAGGTACCGTCACACATAGGTCCAGATTTTTAAAAGTATTTAGATGTCACTGTGCTTAGGATTTAGGAACCTAAATCTTATTTTAAAAAGGGATGGCACCTAATGCTTAAATCCCTTTTGAAAATGAATTTTAGGCTCCTGAACCAGTTAGATGTTGCAATCCCTGAGTGCAGCAATACCTAGATTCCTTTAAAAAATCTGGGTCATAATCTTTAACAGTAATTCTAAAAGTTACCAGGTCTTTTGTGTTTTGATCTAGTTAAAAATCTATTCAGGATCTTCATATACAAAACATATTTTTAAGGAATACATGTAAAGTACACAAAATGTCAAACTTTTTTCCATTTCAGAATCCTGTTCTGTTGGCATACCCTGTTTCCCCGAAAATAAGACAGTGTCTTATATTAATTTTTGCTCCCAAAGATGCGCTAGGTCTTATTTTCAGGGGATGTCTTATTTTTCAATGAAGAAGAATACGGTACACATTTTTTTGCCTTATTATCGGGGAGGTCTTATTATCGGGGGGATGCCTTATATTACAACGAGAGGCAAAACTGTAAGTAGGCCTTATTTTCGGAGGATGTCTTATTTTCGGGGAAACAGGGTAGGTGGTGTCAAGGAAAAACAATGGCAGTGCCAATTGCAATGTAACAACAATGGCAACCATCTAGGATACTGTGCAGTGTCATTTCATTAAGTTTTAATATACTGGTAGTTTAGGAAAGTGTCAAAAGTAGCTATTTCCCATTTGCAGTAGCTGTTTTGCAAAGTTAATATCTTGGTTGTTTTAAAAATACCAAAGGGAAGAATTTACACTAATGCTTTTTTAAAAACATTTTATTTTAACTAGAGTTAATTAAACAGGCACCTGTTCTTTTTCCCCCTGCTCCTAACAAAAAAAAGTTACCAATTAACTCATTTAAAAAAATAGAGAGGTTTAATGAGCAGATTTAGATTAACAACATATATGTTAATGTTCAACTAGATAAATCTTTGAAGTGACAAAGAAATTCAGCTGCAAAATAGAAGGTTTATAATGGTTGGGCAGAGAGACTATTAACTACTGTATACAACAGATGTCACTATAGTGAATGTGTCACTATAAAAGCTCACGTTAAGGAAACAAGAATGTCCTCTCCCCACACTCTATTTGTGGCTGCGTTTTTCAGCAGAGATGCCGTGGTGACTCTAGCTTAGTGGGTTTTTTTACTGGAATTCATTTGGGTTGTGTATTTTTGGCTCTTGGGTCTAAGTTTCACATGCAGCACCACACAAAGTTCATCCTTATAAGTCATAGTAGTTGTTGGTAGTCAGTGGGGAGAGGAAAAACACTTGTATGTTGGATTTCTTTAAAGAGTAATTCCCAAAGATGTTAGTGACTTTTTATATATTTGCATTACAGTGTGTGCAAATATTTTCATTGCTTCTTTTGAAGGCTAGACTGGGCTGATACAAGGTGGCACATAGCTGTGGTGCCTCAGGAACAGTGCAAGGAAGGAGTTGTGCCTCAGAGAGGCCTGGCCAATTCCTTTCCTGTCCTACCCTCGCCCCTGGAGGTGGGGTACGAATCTATTACTGGCCTTCATCAATAGCAGGTAACTAACCCCCTCCCCTGCACTGGTTAAGCTGAACTGATTGGTGCACTGCGATGGGGGAGGAGCCACGGCCAACCCATCTGTCAAGGGTAGGAGTAATGGGTGTACAGAACCTATTTACCCCAATGTACTCATGCCCAGGAGGTAGGTAGGCCATTTAGAGGCTGAAAGGAAGGTGTCTTGTTCTCTTTTATGCCACCAACAAACCACACAGCCTAGCCTGTGATCTAACCCTTAATAATTGTTATCCAGCCACATGACCTCTTCATCACCCTTTTTGTGGCCATCTGATTTTTCTAAAGAGGGAGAATTTGAGAATACCTTGGTGATTTTTCGCAAAGACTCTGTGGTCCAGCCTAAAATCCAAACAGACTAGACTGAGACATCCCTACCTGGTCAGCGTTTTGATGTATTTCCTGTACATGTCTCTTTGTCAGGAATGAAAAGAAATATATGAACAGATATTGGAAAGAAGTAGAAGTTGGCGACTTTATTCAGCTTCGTTGTAATGAAATCATACCTGCTGACATATTGCTGCTCTCTTCAAGTGACCCTGATGGGCTGTGTCATATAGAAACTGCTAACCTGGATGGGGAGACCAATTTAAAACAAAGACAGGTAGTGAGGAGATTCTTAGAGTTGGTAAGTCAACATCTTTCATTTTTATTTAAGATAATGGTTTGTTTAAACTCAATAAGTGATTCATCAATCCAGAACCACACCAATCAATTAACCTTTCTTCTTCTAGCAGGACTGGTGCTCCCCTGCAATTAGAATTAAACTGCTAGTAAATGCCAACAGTTACCTCAGATACCATTATGCAGTTATTGCCACATTCTTTGAAAATGGAGATATTTGGTAATTGTGTGGGGCAGGCAAACGTTACTTTTTTTTTAATGACTTGTATTGTATTTTGGTTTTTGTATCACATTTTTAACTGTTCTTTCTGTAGATAGTTTTCAACATAGAAAATAACTATTTTTCATGTCTGTGGGCCAAATCACTTTCAGTTGGAAATTCTACCTAAAAATCCATTATCCCAGTATGTCCCTCTAGCTTTAATGGTACAGCATGCATGTATTTTAATGGTGTATTTTCAGCTGGCGAGAGCACGAGCTACAAAAGTTGCCTCACTGCTCTACTGTTGGCATTCTTCTCTCCACGACAACATTGTGCATGCAAATAAACAAATAAACCCAGGAGGACAGAAATAGGAGGTGCTTTGTATGAAATGATTGGAAAACTAGCTTGAGGTTTACTTAATCTAGCAACCGTACTTGAGTATTAATTATATGTAACATAGTGATAATAGCACTTCTCTAACTCACAGGAGCGCTGTGATTGTGAGGCACTCCAATACTGCAGTAATGAGGCCCATTTAAGTACCAAATATAGATTGAAGTCAATGACAAAACTGGCATTTATTTCAATGAAAGCCCCCCCCAAGTCAAATATTGAAAAAGAGTTCCAAAGAAAACAGCACATGACTACCTCCTCCTAGAATAACTCAGAAAGCACTAAATACCCAACTCCTGGTTTCAGTGTCAATTAAGTTGTCAGCAGCGTGCATACCTGCAATTTCAAAGTCTAGGGCAACTGCAGCATCCTGTAATTCCCTCAGCAATATGCTAGCAGTCCTTATTAAAGTATTGGCCAAAACCCCTGGCATGTGACGTCACTATATGTATCTCACTAATAGAAGAAGAGTCTTTACAACCTTTGAAAAACTTGCCCTGGTGAGTGTTGAACAGTGATATGTCAGAGGCAGTTCCTTTGAGTCACTTTTTAGACAACCAAATGACAGGGAAGATTGGGGTGGGTTCTCTGTTCCTAAAATGATGTTCACCCCTTCTCTGGACCCAGCTGAATCATCCCCACCAGAGATGGTTTATTCTTGGGGCTCAGAAATATGTTTCTGAAGAACATATTTTTTCCACCAAGTGTCATAAAAGAAATCCCATGGGAGCCTGTCCCCAAATTCCCTATAAGAACTCCACCCCATGCCATTAATTCATTGGAGCTAAATGCTGCTACATTATCAGTATGTACAGTAAAATTAGTCTTAATATGTCTGCTGCCATGTGGCACTGGCTCATTCCACAGCACTCTTGTTTAAATGGGAAACAAACGAATAGATTGTGCAGTCCTTCCTCTCTCCTCTTTATAGAACACACACGTCACAGGTCAAGGGCAAGATGTGGGAACCTGCTGTTAAAATATCAGCAGCACATCACAGGATTTGAGCTAACATTCCCGTAGCAAGCATTGAGAAAGATTTAATATCAATGATTTTTTTCTTAAATGTGTGAAGTAGGTCAAGAAGTACTATGACTTCCATTTTACAGAAGCTGAGAGAGAGGGCCAAGTTCTTTAGCACCCTTTCCTGTGCTGGGCATGAGGAGGAGAGGAGGTAGCATGCCGCATGGGATGGGAAAGCCACTTTTATGACTCCCTAATTCTGTCCCAGTTCAGAGTCCCTACCTTGTCCCCACCCATGCAATTTACAGCATGCCAGGTCTGCTCTAAGTTGCATGCCATAAAGAGCCATGTCACCAATACAGACTAGCCAGAGTGCAGTGCTTGACACGCATGCCTCTTCTAGACACCAACACACTCTCATTTGTCAGGGTCAGACTGAGGAGCCTGTGCAGAGCTGTTATGCCAGCTCTATATTGGTCTGAGAATTCCCCTGCAAAGAGGGGTGATCTTCCAGGGCAGTCTATACCCCCTTTATGACCTCTACACATTCCATACGGTGTATACAGGGCCCAGAGAGTGACTTTCCCAAAACTAGAGATGGTCAGTATTCCTGGCTGCCAGTCCTGTGCTCAGAAAACACCGTTTTCTTACTGGAACAACATCTGTCCACTAGAGATTGTATGGTTCATTTGTCAGCAGTACTTTGAATCACAGCAAGCAATTACAGTGGCAGTCCTGAGACTGAGGATGCAGCACTTTGCAGGCCTTATTACACTCTAAACCAGGGATCGGCAACCTCTGGCACGCGGCTCGCCAGGGTAAGCACCCTGGCGCGCCAGGCAAGTTTGTTTACCTGCTGCGTCTGCAGGTTCGGCCAATCGCAGCTCCCACTGGCTGTGGTTCACCGCTCCAGGCCAATCGGGGCTGTGGGAAGTGGCATGGGATGAAGGATGTGCTGGCCGCCGCTTCCCACAGCCCCCATTGGCCTGGAGCGGCGAACCACGGCCAGTGGGAGTCGCGATTGGCTGAACCTGTGAACGTGGCAAGTAAACAAACCGGCCAGCCCACCAGGGTGCTTACACTGGTGGGCCGCATGCCAAAGGTTGCTGATCCTTTTGGGGGAGGGATAACTCAGTGGTTTGAACATTGGCCTGCTAAACCCTGGGTTGTGAGTTCAATCCTTGAGGAGGCCATTTAGGGATCTGGGGCAAAAATCTGTCTGGGGATTGGTCCTGCTTTGAGCAGGGGTTTGGACTAGATGACCGTCTGAGGTCCCTTCTAACCCTGATATTCTCTGATTCTATGATCCCTGCTCTAAACAAATGTGCAGAAGGCGCATGAAGATCCTAGAATTGTTTCTGCAGCATTTGTGGCCGTCTATTGGTCTTCTCAGCTGGTGAATCCCAAGAACCTAATTTTTATGATGGAGTAACTAGAAATATAAATTATTTCAATTCTGCCTTGATTTATCTGAATAATAATTAGTATGTTGGGAACATTATTGTTACTTAGTATTGTTTGCATGTTAATAAATGTGATGCTTCTGAGATAAAACCTATACTTTCTGTATATGATCATACGTCCCATTGATACTCAAACTGTGAAATCAATCCTTGACGCTGTACAACACGATTTTAATTTCATGGGCAGTATTGCCATTTCTCTGGCTTTTGAAGAATCTAATTTGAATGTGTGATTCTTTGGTATACATTTACATCAGGTAGGCTAGCAAATAAACGATCACTCAAGCAAGTAGGTGAGAGATTCATTTGTGTAATTACAGTTTAAAGATCTGATTCTCCTGAAACCAGTCAATATTTGAAGTGCTACTGCACAGTAATTGAGTTTATTAATCTTTTTTCCTCATTTTGCCATAAATTTATAAGAGGCAATTTCTTTTTTTTTTTAATTTACTGATTTGCACTTAACCAGTAGTTTTTATTTCAGTATCCCTGTATGTCTGATCTTATGTAAACAAATCTTTGGAGAACAATTCTATTTAAAATGAATAAAGCAGCTCATGAAATGGAATATTTCAGAATTTTTTATTTTTCTTTTAGCTTGTCATGATGCTCAGTGCTGGGTTTTTTTAAATGGTTCTTCTGGGAAGGAAAATATAGGGAGAGATTTTTCAAAGGCATTTGTGCCTTTGAAATTCTCCCCCTTAATATTTAGGTATTGTAGTCTCCGGACCTAGATTCTATGGAGATTGGTATATTCAAAAACCTTAAAATAATCAGAAATTTCCTTTCATATAATTTGCCTTTAGATCAGAAAAAATATAGGGATTTCTTTCGTACAGGGGCATGGATCAGATCAATGTGTGTATTGAGACACATTGGAAAGTTAAGCTGAGAATACTTTGCTATACCCAAGTTTTGAGTGACCTAATGTTCTAGCAGTGAACAACCAGGACTCTTTTTGGAAAAGCTTAGTGTATCTTGGTGATATACCAAGTTCCTGCTAAACTCTAACCCACCCTATTTGTTCTTTATATCACAGCAAACATTTGAGTGTGCTGTACCTAATAGTAGCCACATTGTGCAAGAAAAATCAATGTGTTTTCTGTATTACTGTGCAGGCTGTTTTACCACCACACCCTCTATAATTGCTTATGGAATGTTGTACATGTGTTTAAAATATTTTGTCCAACCACTCTTCTGAGAGTGGCTAAGCAGATGCAGCCTTCATTACAGGGATCAATCCTTCCTTTCAGGTTTCATAAGGATGATTTAGAATATTTTGCTAGTATTAATCTAGACTCATGAAAAACATTTACATCCTTAATGCACTGCAGAATGAAACAACCCAAATATTTGTATTTAGTGTGTTCCTAACAAAATCCACAAAGGCTCTTTTAGATGTTGTTCACTAGATTATGGTTCATAAAACCACTGGTCATGTTGTGGGACATAGGTGGAGAGCATCAATTCAGCAGGAGCCCCGGGACAAGGCTCTGTGGGGAGTGCATATTGGAGCAGCAGCAGCACTACCCTTTGAAAAGCTGGACTGTGTTCCTCTTCATACCTGGACAGTGGAGGATCATGTCTTAACCCCTGCCCTCTTTCTTTCTGAAGAGCTGGGCCTTGTCTACACATAGTTGTGTACTGGTTAGATTAAATAGATTTAGATGAAGTGGTTCTGCAAAACCAGTGAAAATTCCTGTGTGGAGGCACATTTATTTTGGTTTATTTTGGACACTTTGGATTCAAACTTTCCTGTTTCAATTTAACTTAAGTCAGTAAAAAAATCAATTTGCAAGTCCTAATCAACTTAAGCTAAACTGGAAATAAACATGGTCTAAACCTAAATAAGAGCATCCACACACAGCCTTCTGCATTGGTTTAACTAAACCAGTTTAAAGTAACTCCTAAAGTTAAACCAGTGCAACTGCACACATAGGCCACGTCTACGCTACGGGGGGAGGGGGGAATCGATTTCAG